ATCAGCTGAGCCGGCACAGCGTGGCGGCCATTTTTATTTTAATGAAGCCGGAGATATTTAAATCCCTGCTTCATTGACTATGTTGGGCAGTCTAATTTACATGCCTCTGTCGGCAGAGGCACGTAGTCTAGACATACCCTGAAAAACCATCCCATGCAGCAGCCACCCGTATCGGGATCTGGTCTGCAAGTAGGTGGCACATTGACAAGCTTTTACTGCAGGTCCTGTTAGGGGAGCATGACGGCTACTGCTGGTAATGAAACAAAATACAGGACTATGTAGCACGGCTACATTTCTATCACTATACTGCTGGTAATGTAACTGCTGGAAAGGACTTCAGTCTCCCGTGATGCCCATTCGCACCAGCATTAAAAAAATCCCTGCATGAGAAGAGGCCCCAATGCTGATGCCGGGACCCCAAATTACCTGAAAAAAATCACCCCGATTACTGCCGTTGCTATAGAACAGTGTTTCCCAAATGGTGTTCTGGGGAACCCTGGGGTTCCACGAAGTGAAAATAAGGGTTCTGCGAGAAAAATCCATTACAATAACATGTTATTATTAAAATAATAATAATAATTATAATAAATATTAATCCTCCCTGATTGGATCCACCTTGTCATCTCCAGCCTGATTCTGGCCTGCATATTTATACCTGCCTCTGGAAATTTCCTCTACATGCATCTGATAAAGTGGGTCTTTGCCCAAGAAAGCTTATGCTCCAACACTTGTTAGTCTATAAGGTGCCACAGGACTCCTCGCCGCTTTTGCAGATTCAGACTAACACGGCGACCCCTCTGATACATGAATTTTATTGAAACCAATTTTCATTTCTGTTGATCTCATGACCTTGTTTAGCATTTGTTTATTATTATCCTTACTTATTTGTGGTCTACTTTTTCAGCTCCATAATTAAGACTGCTATTAGGGGTTCCACAAAATTCTTTGGAGTTTAAAAGGGTTCCGTGGCCAAATAAAACTGGGAATCACTGCTATAGAACTAAGGTGCCCACCAATGACATGATTGCATTCGACACCGCAGTATTTTACCAGAGGAGGCTTCTCTTGCTGGTGGCGAGGTGACAGACACAGCCAAGCGAGGCAGGGAAGTACACCCGCTGTGCAATCACACAGCCAAACAGCTACTGCACGGATCAGCTCCATAGAAACCACAGCCCCCCTCACACTGAGTAATTGCTGCAGTTGCAAATTAAGTCACCCTGCTCTTATAGCAGAGCATTTAACAGTCATATTGCGGCAGTGCCTAGAGGCACCAATGGAGATCGGGGCCCCGCTGTGCATACACATAGTGACAGAGTCCCAGGAGAAAAGGCAAAGTGACTTCCCTAAGGTCATACAGCAGGCCAGTGGCAGAGCCAGGAATAAACTACAAGTCTCTCTACTCTCCGTCCAAGCGCCTCTGTCCACCATCAGCCCATTGGAATGCACACAGGG